AACTAGAGTAGACTCATGCCTTAGAGTCATAGCAAGACTGGGGTTTGGGGTTAAAAGCATGAACACATTTTTCTTCTGTCCTGAGGGATGTATATATAAAGATTAGAATGAGATGTTTTCAGCACAATGAGAAGCACTTTCAAGACTATACCTAGAAAACAACCAAAGGAATTTTAAATTTTGAGCTTGTGACTATGATGATAGTAGTCAGTACTTTACCAGGGAGAGATTAACAGTTAATCCGAACCCCATTGATTTATGTTAAACATCTTAAAATTTAATATCTTAATAAAACAATAGAATACAAAGAAAGAAAAATATAAAATATTTCTCATTTTTCACTATCCTTCACATTCCTTAAATCACTTTTTTGGACTCTCACAACTTAAGCATTCTCATCCTCAGACCATTAAAACTTATATTTACACACTTAAAATTATTTCCTAACACCATCTGTCTTAGAGATGGTTTCTTTTGCTGTGAAGAGACACCATGGCCATATCAACTTTTATAGAGGAAAGCATTTACAGTTTCAGATGCTTAGTCCATTATCATCAGGGTGGGAAGCATGGAGGTGTGTAGGTAGACATGGTACTGGATAAAGAGCTGAGAATTCATCATCTTGATCTGCAAAGAACAGGAATTATACTATCTCCCATCGTGAGAATAGCTTGAGCATACACAATTAATATCTTTATACAGCTCCAAATCAGCCAACAGTGGAAGTCATAACATATTCCAAACACCTGTGTCCAAAATCCTTGAGGGAGAAATGTTATGGCAGAAAGAAATGTGCAAGTTTAATATTAAAATGTTAACCTTCATCCAACAAGGAAAAAAAAAATCAAAATATAAACAAAGATTGCATTTCAGTATAAAATAGCCATGTTAACCAAAAAAAAATGATAAGGCTCTAAAAAACAAGCCTTCATACTTAACTCATTCTTGATGTCATTTGGCACAAACTTGTTAAATAAATATACTTCAGATTTTGTACATTAATTTAAAAAAGATAAAAACCCTACATCAACACATGAACATCATTAGGGCCAAATATAATGTACACTTCATTGTTAAATTTTACGTTTTAAATTTTCATGTGAAAAACTAAACTCACACACACATTTATACATAAATAAAACTAAATTTTTTGTTTGGTTTTCAAAACAGGATTTCTCTGAGTAGCCCTGGCTGTTTTGGAACTTGTTCTGTAGACCAGGTTGTCTTCAATCTTATAGATCCACCTGCTTTTCCCTCTCAAGTTCTGTAATTAAAGGCGTATGCCTCCAGTACTCACATATAATAAATTATTTTAAGAAAAGATATGTTTTAAAGGGACACACTGAATGTCTTCCAGCCCAATCCTTGTGTTTTTCTTGTTTCATTTGAGGGCATATTTATGGAACTTACACTCCAATGTAACACCCTGAATCACTCAAGATTGAAGTCTAAAATCAAATACATTTTTTACAGGTTATGTTAACAAAATGTTAAGGGAACTGGAGAAATGGCTCATTGGTTAAAGAGGAGTCATGCATGAGTCCTCTTTAACCAATGAGCCATTTCTGAATACTGTACAATGGAAAGATTCTGTTCAAGTGCATGCTCATGGGCAATCTGTATTGAGAGACTACATAGGTTACATGTCCTGCCCACACAGATAAGATGGGTTTAATACTCTGTGCTGAGACATTCAAGAAGAGCACTGGCTGTCACCAGGGCTGGTGATGCCTGGGTGTGGGCTTGGAGATATGGGATGGGAAGGTCCTGAGCAGCTGCCTAGCAGTATCAATCAGAGACTTTCCCTGTACTAGGATCTTTCATTTGCCAAGTTGAATTGCTGCACTTTATTATTTTGCTTCAGTATTATTTTTGGCCTCTTATTTAACAATACTTGATTATTTATGTGAGAGTATGTGTTCATGCATATATGCATGAATGAGTGAATGTGCATGACAGCATATGTATGTGTGCATAAATGTATATGCATTCATACCTCATTTATCATGCTTGATTATACACATTCTCAAGGTTTTGACTAAAAGAAGACATAGAAATTGGATACGAGTAGGAAAATAGTCAGATGATACCCCCTCACAAATGATATTTCCCTACATGTCACAAATCCTAAAGACTCCTCCAAGAAAACACTTAGACCTCATAAGCACTTTCTCCAAAGCAGCACTTTCAAATAATAACAATGAACATGCTGAAAAAGAAATAAGAAAAAAAGTTGTTCACAATAGTTTAAAATATAATGGGACTAATATTTCAAACCAAGACAAACAAATTTATTTCTCAGCTGGCACTGACAAAGCTAACCCAGAAGAGTCCCTGGTTAAAGCCAAAACATAAAGAGTTTTGATGATATTGACTTTTGAATGTATCAGCTGTTTCCTGAAGTAAATGTCTTGTATGCTATTATAGCTTTCCCCTCTGATTCTTTCCCCAAGCATTTCTAACAGTGTGAATGATCATTTA